AGGAAGAATGCTTGATTCCATTAGGAGCAACAGATGAAAGGAAAATCCATGTTTCAAATGTGATATAGAAGCTGGAATGTCTTGACCCAATATACCCAGTTTTAGCCAAGTAAATAATTGTAAGCTAAAAGAGTGTGTGAAATAGGTAGTCCCTAGTACAAAAATGGCTGGGTTCTAAACTTCTTGCATTAATTTCTCTTGAATTTTGAGCCTGTTTTCTTTAGAAACAATCTGATATAACATAGTTATGGACCCAGGTCAGACTACTGCAAAATGCCTATTTAGCACTACCCAGAGTATATCTAAAGTTTTAAAAGTATTGGCCTGAGTTCTGGATCTCAAAAGCAGGGATGATAGCAGACAAAAGAATGAAGAAGAGACAACATATCTCGCTCCTCATCACACTTTCCACCATAGCCAAATTGTGAAAGAGGGGACTCAGTGCTCTTAAGTTATGCTTGCCCTTCTTGCTACAATAAACTACCCACATATATTCCTCAAGAATAAGCCACACTATAAAAGCATCTACTGCTCATCTCCCTCAACCATAACTTTAATTCTTTGCTGTCTCTAGAAGGTGTTAAGAAAGCCATCTGATTTAAGTAACTCATACTAATGTGTTAATGACTGATTTGTACATTCATTTATAGACACAGCTCTCACACACACACACACACACACACACGCAAACACATGGGCATATACAACTGCATTACTTATGTATTTTAGGAGCCAAAGATATGAGAGATTGGAAGGGCAGGGTTTCTGCTCCCATGAAGCCTACGTTTCAGTGGGGAGAGGTAGACAATAACATTCAAAAACAAACTAAATTGTCCGGAAAGTAATAAAGACTCTACAGAAAATAGGGTGATATAACATACTTCACATTGGTGGTTAGGAAAGGTCTCTTTGATGAAGTGACATTTAAGATGAGATATACTTGAAGACAAAGAGCCAGTCTTGTGTAAATGAAGGGAAAGAGCATTTTAGACAGCTAGTGCAACCTTTTTTTTTTTTTTTTTAAAGATTTTTATTTATTTATTTATTTGACAGAGAGAGACAGTGAGAGAGGGAACACAAGCAGGCAGAGTAGGAGAGGGAGAAGCAGGCTCCCCGCTGAGCAGAGAGCCCGATGTGGGGCTCGATCCCAGGACCCTGGGATCATGACCTGAGCCAAAGGCAGACGCTTAACGACTGAGCCACCCAGGCGCCCCGACAGCTAGCGCAACCTTGAGAAAGGAGTGAACCTGGGGCATGGAGGACAGTGTACAGGCCAGTGGGGCTGAAGAACAGTGGGCAAGGGGGGAAAACAGAATGGAAAGACGGGCAGGGGCCAAATCACATAGGTCTTTGTAAGCCTGGGGGATACTTCTGAAGTTTATCCTAAGTAGGGAGCCCTTGGAAGACTGTAGGCAGAAATGTGGTCTGATTTACAACTTAAAACAATCCTTAGCAGAAGCATGAAGAGAGACAGGAGGCCCCTGCAGAGGTCTGAGAGAACGGCCTACCCGTTCTCTCAGAGAGAGATGCAATGTAGGGGTAAGATCTGCAGGAGTTATGAATGGTTTGACTGTGGGGATGAGAAAAAAGGAATCAAGGACACTGGCTAGATGATGATATTGTTTTCCAGAAAAAAAGGCAAGATCTGGAAGGAATAGGTTTGGTTGAAGGATGAGGCCGTGGGCAGTGGAAATAAGCAGTTCTACTTTGGACATGGTGATTCGGAGCCCCACATTACACATCCAGCATCAATAGAGGGAAGGAAGTTGGCATGTGAATCTAGAACTCGGGAAAATTGAGGCTTGGGATAAACATCTGGTAATCATTGGCGTGTTGGCGGCATTTAAGTCATGGAGACTGGTGTGATGGGCCAGGGAGTGAGCCCAGATGGGGAAGAGAAGAGAGCTGGAGACCAGGCTCTACTTACTTCAACATTGAAAAGTGGAAGGAAACTATTCAGGAAGCCCCTCTTCTCCAGACAAGGAGCTCTGCAGAGGGTGATTCTGGAAAAGAAGGCTCTTGCTCTTTTAACAAGTGTGAGTCTTTAAGGTTGAGCCCCCTCATTCCCCATGAAGACCCTCAGGAGTCCTCCTCTGCCAACAGATTATAATGAGCACTTGATTACCAGTGGTAGGAGGAAGAAGCTCTGTCTCACCCGGAAAGGCATAGCTCTTTTCCCCATAGACTTTGAATATGATAAAAAAAAAAAAAAAAACTTTAAATGAGATATTTAAATATTTAATCCTGCCTTAGGGCAGGCCATCGGAAGCTGAGAATCCAAGGGTCTCACCTACCAAGAGGCAGCAATACAACAATGCTAGCTCGGAGCCCTTCTACTTTAGGAAAAGGTCAAGACATCAGCCTAGAGAAAAAGCTGGGCCTCAGGACCAATGATTAGTAGTAAGCTTTGAGTGAAAAGAATTAGTCTTTTTTGTTCTTCCACCTGTAGCAACTGGGCTTTGTCATCTGGGAATAATAGCATTTTTTTTTTTTTTTTAGGAGTCAGGAGATAAAAAAAAGCACTGCTCTGAATCATCAGGGTTCAAGAATAAAGTCAGAAATATGTTTGTTCAGCATCTTGTTCAATTTGCACAGCTTTTGGGGGGATGTATGTTTATATATATATGACTATGAGATTACCTACAACTATATCGTGTGGGGAACATGCTGCACAGCTCATATCATAGCAAATTACAGGAATTCTCCTGATAACAGAGCATAGAAATCTGTTTCCTGATGGGAAGAATTTATGGAGGTGAAGGGAAACCATTTTGACAGCTAATGATTCTGTTGTATTCTCCCCAACAGGCTTTCTTACCTCTTGATGCCCCTACCTGGGTTCTGAGCCAGTTTTAAGTGGCAGAACAAATGAGGTTTGTACGCTAAGGTTTAGTGTAATCCACATTTCATGTACAGAAAAAAAAAAAAAGTTAATGATATGGTATGGCTGCCACACTTTTCAAGAGAGTTTAATACAAGAGATGCACAGAGCTACTTTGGAAGACTAGTATACAGGAAAAGGAGCCAGTTTTGAGGTATTGAGATGAGGAGCAGGGAAATTTAAAAAACATATATATTTTTAGAAACAAGGATTTGATGTAGTAAAAGCATTTTTTTGATCATTTGGAAAACAAGAGATGCATTAGGTAGGACCAACTGCTGACTTTCCAGAGAAGTAGGTTGATTTTGAGTCCCTCTAATGAGAGACCTAATTTTGCTCTCATTATCATAATTTGCACATATTCTCCTTAAGGGTTAAACCTGGGGCCAGAAGTGTGTGCTAACTTGGGTACCATTTGATACAGTGATTTCAGCCTTAGGGAGAGTAGACTCCAAAACATATTCCTACAGTAACCTGAGAGTGATGGGTATAGTAACCTGAGATAGAGGAACTGTTATGTTTAGTTTCTTTGGGTATATATGTTCTCTAAACAAAATAACTCACAGTATGAATATTTTAAGGTTTTCCTCCTGCTTGCTAAATTTCTGGTTATTTTCGGAAAAAGAATCAAAATAAAGACCAAAATTGGAACTGCTAGAAACAGCTGGTGTTGAGAGGGAGTCTGATCTCCTCTGAGGATCAGCAGTCAACTGGAAGACTTTGCATAGTTCTACTCACTAAGACTAAGTCGGACAAGGACCCCCTAAATCCCCTGAGTCCTCCATTAACTCACTTACACCAGAACCCCGTCAGGCCTCTTGACCAGGACTCCCACGTGGTCGATCATTTGGATAGCACCATGGGCAATGGCTCACCACTATAAATCTGGACACTTTATTTCTGGTTATTCAAGGATGAAGTATCCAAATCTATACTGGTCAGATCATCTGCAGCTATTCATAAATAATAACAAAAGCTGTTGTTTTAATCAAATTCCTTCTATGTTTCAAATGCTTTACTAGATGCATAATTTATAGGTGTTTTCTCCAGTCCTTGCCACGATTCTGCAAGTTCAATATGATTATCTCTATTTTACAAATAAAGAAAGACTCAGAGACACTGAAGTGATAAATACCTGAATGGAGAAGAACAACTAGTGAATTCCATTGAAGAGATATATGCATGATTTAAACTGCACTTCTTTTCAGAGTCAAAACCAAAAGCCAGGGTTAGCTGTATATCTGTCAAGATGTCAACTAGCACTGGGCCTGCATCCAGAACTTTGGTTACAGTAGGCTCCCATGTGCACCAGAATCACCTGTGAGCTTAAAACACGCATGTCTGGGTCCTTCCTCTAGATCTTCTGATTCCACATGTTGATGGTGGGTTGCAGGCATTTGTATTTTTTAAACAAGCTCCCAGGTAATTTTGATGCTCACCCAAGCTTGAAAATTACTGCTGTCAAGGTCATGTCTGGGAGGATGATTTCTTAGAAGTCTGGGCAAATATAATGAGCTACAGTTGTAGATTGGAAGAAAAATTTAGCTTATAAGGAATGCATGAAGGGACATCCACGAAATGTGTCCTTGGCCTGCTTGCTTTGGCTGGGATTACTTTTGCCCTGATCAATGTCTACCTTTATTTTTTTTTAATTTACTCACATTAACTTTTGGGTCAAGAGACTATTTTATCAGGTCTTCAGTAGGTACTTATCTCAGTTACTCAACCAATAGAGTTTCATGGAAATTATCCAAACGTTAGTAAATATAAAAAAGACAGATTTTGTGCTTGAAGAGGATTCTGTAATTTTGTTTTGTGTTTTAGAAAGTGCTAACTGTAATGGGAAGCTGATCTGTCAATCTAGCCATCAAACCAATCTATTCTCACCAGGCAGTCCCTCTGGGAATGCTTTTCTGTCATCAAGATGATACTGACCAGCCTTCTAACCTTGAAAAATGCCATGACAGTCTTCTGGCAGTGACATTATTTATATCTCTGGGCTCTTGCCTTTCATAGGCCTGTTTGTTATCACAGTCCTTGAAACTGTGAGAAAGAAAAGGTCAAGAAGGCGAACGGGCTGCCACGGCTGGGGGAAATCATATACAAATGTATTCTCTACCTGGTACCGAAGTGCCGAGGGCGACGAACACTACTGCGGTCACAGAATCTTTCAGGCCAATGGTGCATCCGAAGTGGGAAGCCAGGTCTCCGATGAAAGCTGTCAGTATGCCGATCATGAGGATGGAGACAATGAAACAGGCCCAGCCATTCCAGTATTCTGTAGGGGGGACGAAGGCGAAGAGGACCTTCCAGAACACGGTCAGAAAATGCATCACGTAATCGAAACAGGAGGGCAGCTTCTCCTCTCCACATTCATCGTCGTCATCATCTTCCCCTGGAGGGAGGAACGAAGCACATACTGTCACAACCCGGGCTCAGCGGGGTCTTCTTCTCTCCGTCTCCCTCCTTCCTCGGCCTTGTCATCCCTCCCCCATAAGCAGGAGGTCATTAGAGGTGATTGAAGCTTAGGGTTTTCTAAGAGTCCATCATAATTAACCAATTAATTATTAAGCTACTGACATACCCCCTCACTGTGGTTGACGGGTCAATGGCAAAAACTTAAGCCCCCAACCAGTTTTGGTTATATGCAGTCAACACACCCTTTCTAAGGTCCTATCAACTCCAGGGTGAGTTGTCATTTCAGGGAAATGAAAAAGATTTCTTCCAAAAGACTGGGAAGCCCTGTGTCAGGCTCAGAAAGAAGGCTCTTTTGACAAAAGATAACAATGACAGAGTTTTCCTCACCAAGGTTCTTCCAGCCTGGAGCCTGGCTCTGGGGATTCACCGTTAAATAAGCACCCATAGGACAGTGTTCAGACAAGGTCTTCAAGCACAGCTCTGGGCCCTACAGATTTCTCCAGCTTTATCTCTTGCAATTACTTCAAACTCAAACTTCATCCTAGCCAACGGAATTATCTGCATTTTTTTTTTCCAAACTGTAAGTACTTTCTCCTACTTTTATCCGTTAGAACTAAATGTGTTTGGCATGTCCTAATCCCTCCCTCCCTCCCCTTCCCCACTCAACCTTTAAAACTCACTTCCTTCGTGAAACCTCTGACGGCACCCTTGCCCTCCAGCCAGGGCTGGAAATTCCTCCTCAGAGCTTCCGTAGCCTTCTGACACTTGTGACGCTGAGTCAGTGGTTCTCCGACTGGTCCCCAGACCAGCGGTATCAGCCTCACCAGGGAACTTGTTGGAAGAGCAAATTCCTGGCCCCACTGAATCAGAAACTAGAGGCCTGGGGGTGATTCTGATGCATACGCAACTTGGGAACCAACCTCTCTCTAGACTGCCCGTTCATTTTCTTCTCCAGTTGACCGTGAGCCCAGCGAGGTCAGGAGTTTGTTCATTTTTGTGTCCCTAGTGTTTGGTCCAATCTCCTGCACATGGAATAAGCTGGCTAAGGGCTTATTAAATGAATGAATGCATGCATGAATTTCCACTGACTTTATATAACTGCTTAATTATGTAACATACACACATATAACCCAATTCTGCCAATTACATCATATAATCAGTGCATAAAGAAATGCACCAAGCTTACTACTGAAAGGAACCAGGAAATCAATAATAGTATCCTAAAACAGAGACTTCATTTATAATGGGATATAATCCCCACTCACATATTTTAACATTGGGGTACTGAATGTCAACTCTTCTTGAAGTGGTGGCAAAGAAATTTCGTGTGTTTTGTGCCATTTTGGAAAGAACCCCTTGAGGACTTTGTTCACTCCCCCACCCCCAAACCTTGTCACCAGGGATCTACTTTCCTTTGTCCAAGTAATGCCGTTGGCAGGTGAGGCTGTCAGACTTTCCAGCTGATCGTGTGACCTGAGATTACCAGCAAGGAGCAAATATGTGTGTTCTCTGTGAGGCACTCAGTGGTGAGGCCATCTGGTGCAAATCATTACTGGGAAAACCTTAAGGCAGAGGAGCTTTGAGGGAAAAGTGCCTCTCGCAAAACACGAAAAGAGGAATATCTCCATTTGTCACCTGTCATGTCACAGGAAGAGAGACGAGGCTATGGCTTGCTCTGCCGTGAGCACATGGTCAGAATTATTATGCAAACAAACTTTGGGGGTCTGTGGAGAAAACAGCTCCCCTTTCAGGCTTTGGACTGTCTCCAGCGAAGTCTTGGGAGGAAGCCCCCAGCAGATGAATAGAATGACCTTTGGAGACTAGGTAGGTAGGGAACTCAAGTCAGGCCAGCTGGTAGAAAAGTGTGTGACTCACTGGAGTAAGAAAGCATTGTTGACCATGTTAAGTAACTGAGATGGCCCTGATGCCTTGGTGATCTATGAAGGCAAATCACAGCCTAAACCACATCAATTTCATTCAATACACTTGCATCCGAGAAAACACAATTTTAGAGCAACCAATCACAAGCAGCCACCTAGGCTTTACCAAATAAGGCACCCACTTAAGCTACAGCCAATCAAATAATTTCCTTGCTTTGCTTCTGCCTCTGCTCCACAAAAAGCCTTTCCCCTCGCTCCTGTCCCTAAACCACTTTGGTGTGGCTCTGCCTGATCTGAATACATATTTGCTCAAATAAACTCTTAAAAGTTTTAATGTGCCTCAGTTTCCCTTTTGATAACTGTTTCCTATAGTGTCATGCTGTATGGCTATTACATATTTCTAATATCTTGCCTGAAAGCAGAAGATGATTTTAAACCAAAGCACACATTATGGGCTGAATTATCTCCCCCAGATTCACCTGGTGAAGCCCTAAGCTCAGAATATGACTATTTGGAAATAGGGCCTTAAAGAGATAAGTTAAAATGAGGCTGTTAGGGTGGAACCCTAATCTAATCAGGCTGGTATCCTTGGAAGAGGAGGGTACTGGGACATATTGACACCAGGGGTGCATGCATATAAAGGGAAGACCACGTGAAGACACAGCAAGAAGGCAGCCCTTCTCCCAAATCAAGGAGAGAGGCTTCCGGAGAAACCAAACCCGCCCACATGTTGGTCTTGGGACATTTATCTTCTGGACCTGTGAGAAACTAAATTTCGACTGTTTAAGCTACCCAGGCTGTGGTCTTTTGTTACGCAGCCCTAGCAACCTCACACCGTCCCTTCAGAAGCCTCCTGCGGTGTGACACTGATACTTAAGGCCAACCACTTGGTGTTTCTATCACCCATTCCTTTCTTGTTTGCTCGTCCATTGCTTCTTTGCTCCTTCTTTTACTTTTCTTCCCATTTCCCTTTCGCCCTATGCTTTAGCTCCAGAAGAACTTACTGTGAGAGCTGCAGTTGTTAGGGCTTATTGGAGAGAAAGAAGAAGAGAATCATGTTAATCCTTCCTCTCACTTCTCTCCTCCCCCACTCCCCATCCCAAAGAGGGGAGAGTTGCTCATACCCTACAAAAGTTTGGGGAAAGCACTAGACCTTATGGTTATATTTATTTTGAATATGATCCCTATAAGTTCCTATATTCTATATTTTTGGACATTTTGTAACTTCATATGGTATATGATTAAAACAATTTGGAAAACACTGAATTTTAATCGTTTATGGAAACAGATCATTCTGCCTCTAATTCTACGAAATTGCTTAATCTGGGGTGTCTAAGACTCACAGTGTGAAGATGAGCAAGAAAGCAAATAGTGAAGCTTCTCAGAAGAAATGACACTTATAAATTGAGAGTAGATATTACATTTGTTTTCAAGATGGAAATAATAACACCTTTCCCATGAGGGATGTGCAAGGGAATAATTAGATCATCTCTTCAAAGTGAGGATAGTTCAAGATAATGATGAGCGTGGTAGTTAGCGTTATTGTCCTCCACTTAGGATTGTACTGTGTTTCCCTGTCATTACATAATTGCTTAGTCAACATGCTGGGTCCTACGGTTACAGCCTAGGCTTTTAGAAACAAAAGTTAATCTTGCCCTCTGGAATTAGCTTCATGATCTATATGTGTGCAATGCAAAATACGTGTGTGTGTGTGCAAGAGAGAGAGAGGGACAGAGGGACAAAGAAATTTCCTTCTGTAGGTTTCCAGCATTACAAGGTATCTGAAATATTTTAGCACTTCAGTCTGGAATGGGAGGCCCATCTGTTTTATTACATTTGAAAGTAGAAATGCCCTCCTATCCTCTTCCCTGGGATCACACTGTTCTTTATAAATTTTAATCTCCAACTCAGATGTCATTTAAATATTAAAAATGACCATGGGCTGCCACGTATGATGCACAATTACCTTGTCTTGGAGAAGGAAAAAGAAATGGGATGTTCATCCGCCACCATCAGGACTATACTTAAAAGTTTGTTCTTTGCAAAGAGCAGTGGAAGATTAAAAACAAAACATCTGGAGCATTTTTATGTGATGGCAAAGATAGTGATCTGCCAGTTCTGTCTGTACGCCAGCTCGGGCTTACTGGAGGCTAGTAATGCTTTCAAGTCCCTCCTCCGCATTAGCAAAGAAACAGGCAATGGGGGAGGGGGCTTCCTTTTATAGGATCCCAAGCGAAGGATCTTCTTACCTCAGAATCCTTCTTTCCAGCTTTATGGATTCCCCTAATGGAAAGATAAGAAGCTGCATTCGGTTAACCCTTCCCATGGCCCTTCAAATGGTTTCCTTGAGACATGTTGGGACTTCCTAAATATAACTACAAAAATAGCCAAATCCTTAAAACCACCAATAGAAAGAAGAGAGAGCATCACTTCAACTACTGACCTAACAGAACCTGCACTGACCTCGCTCTGGAGCATGAGAACAAAGGTGGCGTGAGCACAATTGACCATGAAAGGGAACCCTGGGCTTGGCACCTGCAGATAACCGAGCATCTAATGTAGACCAGGTGTTGGTGGGCATCCCTCCGGAGGCACTCAGGGTTTGGCCTCAGGGAGAGCTTTGACAACCGGAAAAAGAGGCGACTGAGGTGTAGTGGACATTTAGGTCAGAAAACTTAACAAAATTTCTAGTTCTCAGAGCTTGTTTGGGAGCAGGACTTGACCTTCCTGAGCCTCAGCTCCTCGTCTGTCAACTGAGTTTCTTAACTCCCACATTACTGATCTGTTGTGAGGACCGGAAGAGGAAATGTGAAAGGCTTTTGTAAAACTGTGAACCCCTTTACAGACAGCTGTGCCATAGTCCATCACTGTTACTTGTCAGAAGGCAGGCAGCAAATCAATACGATCTGAGTATCCTGATTTCACAGAATCTATATTCTGTTTGAATGAGTCATTATCACCACTGCTTCCCCAAGCCCTTGATTTAAAAAAAAAAAAGAAAGAAAGGAAGGAAGGAACAGAGGGAGGGAACATGATAGGGTGTCTTCTAAGTGACGGGCACTAAACTTTTTCACATACCTGATCTTATTTAATCCTT